GCTTTGACCAGGGTTTGAACCCAGGTGTTGCGGAGTGGAAGCGCGCACTGCTTACCACTACACCACAGCGGCCGATATGTATGCATACAATAAAAGTTGGCTCTTTATTTCTGGGCTGGGATCCCGTCGTGCCGAGCCGCGCCGGGCCGTGCCCCACTAAAATTCTTAACGTGCGGGCTCGTGCGTGTTTTTGAAAGTTGATTTTACACTCGTGCTGGGCCGGGTCTGAAAATTTAGACCCATGCCCATCTCTTTTCCAAACTATGTAAATTTTCATAAACAATTTCAATCCTTAATTATTCTTCTTAAAAAAAATTTGACTAGGCATGCAGTTTTGCATAATATTTTTTCTTAAAAGAAGTAAAATTTTCGGCAACATAGAAATTTTCAAAATCGGATATCAAATAAGAGCGTGCTTAATACAACGCAGAAACAACAGAGAGATAATTGCTATAATTTGAAATTTAATTTATTCACATTGATATTTTCTTAATGATAAAAAATAAATACAGCAATTATGATAAAATAAATATATATATGTAGCCAGGAACTATACAGTTTTTTTTTATGTGAAGCAGTGATGAAACGGGTCAGAAAACAATTATTCTTAACCCCGGGCAGTTGCGGCAACATTGGCGGCCTGCTGCGCCACGCCAAGTCCTTGGATGGTGGCATCTCTTGTGTGTTGACCAACACGCTCCTGTTCGGAAAGGAAATTTTACAATAGTAAGTACATATGTACATAATAGGCTATGAATGCTTCTGTGTAAATCACTTACGATTTTCTTGCCGATCTTCTTTAGCCAACCCGCTTCTGTTTGCCCTGCGAAAATAGCGATCAAAACGGCAAAGAAGATGAAGACTTTATTGAAGTTCATTTTGATTGTGTTTTTTGTTTCTTGTCTACTGCAATGTAATACTTTACAACTTAGCTCGATAGCTGTTTAGCGGCGACTATTGTCTTTACTGGGGACGTTCCAAACGCTTTTGATGATGAGAGATTGACGGCAGGGGCTTTTATAGCGAGAACTACTTCGATTGGTGACGGCCTCTGCATTTCCTTCATTATACGGGGGATCACTGGCATCCATCATCATCAATGTATGTACATATGTACATACGTATGTGTTCGTATGCATCACTTTGCTGATAAGGTGACAGTATTAAATAATTTCATTTGCTTTACTTAACTCGGGGATTTTAAACTTCTTAAGAGTGCAATATCTTGTGTTGTGTTGTCTCTTAGAAACTACTACAGGCATACATAATAAACACACCGACATGGATATATGTATATAAACGCTCTTTACCAAAGAAGTGGTTTTCCACCAAAATTCTAGGAAAATTGGGATGGCTATATCACATATGGATATATCACATATGTGTATCTCAAAACCTACTTCATCGATCTCAACCAAATTTCGTATACGTAGGCTTCTTAAGCGCCGTATTGAAAGTTTTTGAAATCGGACACGGAAATCGCACGCTCCACCAACATAACGGTAGTTTTAAAAAACTCAAAGCTAGCTATATTTTATGGGGAGTAGGTTTTGCACAATGTGTATACCAAATTTGGGCGATTGTATACATCAATTTTGATCAAATATTGATAAATTCCTGCTCAAAAATCTGAAAGTCCGGTACATCTGTATATGTATGTATATAAATGTGAATGTCTGTTTGTTTATTACCTTATAACTTCGAACCGCGGCACGGAATCGCATGAAACTTTGCGCACTTATTTGCTTTTACCCCGGAAAGGTTATAGGCATAGAGAAATATGGACATTACTGGAAAGAGGGGCGTGGCACCTCCCATACTGACTAAAATTATCATGTTGTATATCTCTTGAAATATTTGTGGTAGTATACTGGAACTTGGTGCCGATATAAAAGAAATTATTTCCATACTCATGGGAAAATATGGGCGGTTTTGCAAAAGGGGCCATGGCACCTCCCATAGGCGTTAATTATTAAAACAGCTCTAACTTCGGAACCGTAAGTCACATGAACTTGAAATTTGGTAGAAGCTTATCTTAAGGTATATATAAATGAGTTGGTAAAAGGGGGCGTGGCAGATAAGATAGGCGTGGAATTTTTTGTCAGTCATACCTTCGGAACCATAAGTCACATGAGCTGGAAATTTGGTATGCAGACATATCTATGGTAGGTGCTTATAGTAAGGTATGTATATATATAAATGAGACGGTGTAAGGAGGCAGAAAATCCCGAAGGCGTGGAATATTTTACCGTTATAACTGGTTATGCCTGGAATTTTTTATCAGCCATATCTTCGGAACCACAAGTCACAAGACCCCTTCAATTTCTTCTGACATGGGGTGAAGCTAGTAAACAATATACGTATTTAATAAAAGTCGCCTAACTTCGAGAATTTTTATTTTTATATAGTACTACATAATTTGAAACTGTGGAAATTGTCGATGATCAAAATTCAAAAAATTAAGAGAAATATGGGTTTTTTTTTATTTTACCCGATAAAAAATCCCATCAAGCCAAGTCGACAATAGATTATTATATACCATTTTAAAGGCCTATATGTCCTTGAAATCGAATCAAAAGTAGTCATTCAAAAACTCATTAAGCTACAAAATAGTATTTTCTGACCTAAATCGACAGGTCGCGACCTCTAAGTGACCTTTAAAAAATCTATAAAAATAGGTAATAATATTTCTCATAAAAACGAATAAAATTAGGGGGTAGCGGGGCACCCTACTGTACATATGTATATATCCATGTCGGTGTGTTTGTTATGTATGCCTGTAGTAGTTTCTAAGAGACAACACAATACAAGATATTGCACTCTTAAGAAGTTTAAAATCCCCGAGTTAAGTAAAGCAAATGAAATTATTTAATACTGTCACCTTATCAGCTAAGTGATGCATACGAACGCATACGTATGTATGTACATACATACATTGATGATGATGGATGCCAGTGATCCCCCGTATAATGAAGGAAATGCAGAGGCCGTCACCAATCGAAGTAGTTCTCGCTATAAAAGCCCCTGCCGTCAATCTCTCATCATCAAAAACGTTTGGAACGACCCCAGTAAAGACAATAGTCGCCGCTCATCAGCTATACATTGCAGTAGACAAGAAACAAAAAACAACAATCAAAATGAACTTCAATAAAGTCTTCATCTTCTTTGCTGTTTTGATCGCTATTTTCGCAGGGCAAACAGAAGCGGGTTGGCTAAAGAAGATCGGCAAGAAAATCGTAAGTTTTTACACAGAAATATTCATAGCATATATATTTTTTTGTTGGATTAAGTGCATATGTACTTACTATTGTAAAATTTCCTTTCCGAACAGGAACGCGTTGGTCAACACACAAGGGATGCCACCATTCAGGGACTTGGCGTGGCGCAGCAGGCCGCCAATGTTGCCGCAACTGCCCGGGGTTAAGAATAGTTGTTTTCTGGCCCATTTAATCACTGCTTCACATAAAAAAACTTTATAGTTCCTGGCTACATATATATATTTATTTTATCATAATTGCTGTATTTATTTTTTAACTTTAAGAAAATATCAATGTGAATAAATTAAATTTCAAATTATAGCAATTATCTCTCTGTTGTTTCTGCGTTGTATTAAGCACTATATAGATAGCTAAATCGCGTTTTTTGCTATAACGTTCTTATTTGATATCCGATTTTAAAAGTTTTTATGTCGCCGAAAAGGTCTCTCTGAGGTCTGCAAATGGCTATTAAAAATGTTTGTCCTTCAAAACCGTTTTGACCTGCACGTTCGAATAGTTTTTAAATGCTATCCCCAGATTTTTATTTTTGTTCCATAAATCTAAAGTTCTCTATGACGACCTTGCTTAAAAACCAGGGCCGGCCGCAGGATTTCTCTTTGTGGAAAGGCATTCGTAACAACTAAGAATATCATTGTTTTATTTAGAGTATTCAGCATATTTTATAGATAACAATTTTTTAATACTGAGTCAACATTAACATATATTGCGATGAACATTGAGAAAAGCTAGCCCATTGTGCTCGTTCTATGCCCATGACTGCACATTAGCCTGCGCCTTAGTGGTATGGAGAAATTTTTTTGTTAAGCTACAAAGCAAGACTCGTAGAAATTTTTCTTTGATCATAAAAATGTGTCCTGGTGGTCAAAATGTGGTCAAAATTACCTATAAGTAAGTGGGAGATTTAATATAATATAATGGCCCTCCCGATGTAAAATATGGCTAACCTATTTTTAAACCTCCCCAAACTTTAAAGTGATTGAGGTTTTTTCCACGTAAAATCACAATTTTCTAAGAATTCAGAATTTAAATTATAGCCAAGTAAATTTAGATTAAATTGGTGCGAAAAAAATGTGTAGTAACGAACTTGTGATGCAGTTTACTTCCATTTCACACGTAGAACATGGATCCACAGTATCGCCCCTAAATTTCATACCGGAACAGTCCGCTATCTTTGGTTTTAGCTTGTTTTTGGGTTAGGGTTTTTTATATACAAACTTAAAAAAAAAATATAAATTTTTTATTGTAAATAATTAGCAAGTAGCATTGTCACGGTTTTCGCCATTTTTCAACAATTTCTGATAAAAATGCGTACCATATTCAAATGCCAAAGTTGTAGGAAACTTTTCTCTTTTAGTGTTGGGTTCCCCGGTGGCACGAAATTTGTAAAGCAAAATCTAATATACGGTTAGTTTAGATGCCATATTTGAGACGCCACACAGTGGTCGGAGAAGCCATGCTTTACGCGGAAAATTGAAGGGCTGTTACGATTATAATAAAGCTTCGGGATCGTAGTATTGTTGTAGTGCTAAATCCGAATATGACGGTTGAGAGCTGTCAAATCAACTGACAATTTCTCTAAAATTAAGAAAATATTTTTAATAATACGACTCTGTCAAATTAAAACCTTGACAGTTGACAGCTTTGAATTAAAACTTTGAGAGTTGACAGCTGTCAAATAATCTGTTCATTTTTCTAAAAATAAGCTTATATTTTTTAAAGATGCTACTGATAAGAGTTTTAGAAACGCTAGTCATGAATTTACGTTAAATTAAAACCTTCAGAGTTTACAGCTGTCGAAGGGGCTGTCAATTTCTCTAGAAATAAGCAAAATTTCCCAGGAATTAAACATACTATATTTTAAGGCTTACTGATATCCAGTTCTGTATCACACTCAAACTTTTTCGGTTGACAACCATCAAATCAACTGTCATTTTAAGTTGAGTAACACAATACATATATTTGTTTGGTAAAATTTGATTTATCAAATACGAGGGGACATATCTAAAATGAGTTTATGATCAAATTATGAAATAATAACAGTAATTATATTTATAAATTGGTGATAGTTGGGGCCGTCAGCTATATGATCAATCCAAACAATTTGATCTAGGCCCCAACAGGTTTTTTTTAAGGTTTTTTAAGATTTCTTTTTTCAGTTTTCTTATTTTTAAATAAAAGTTCTGAACTTTTGGAAATTTCGGACGCCATATTGGATTTTGCATTTTTACTTTTCAAAAACTAGTTTGAAAGTTGTAATGAGCGAACTCAAAACCTCTAAATACCAAATTTCATGAAAATTCAGTAATTTTTGAAATTCTTGAATTTTTGAAAATTTACTTCAGCTTTGTTAAAACACATCTTATAAATGATATGATGCTAAATGCTAAATATAGAATAAATTACATTAATCTAGTATATTTTAATACATTTTATTTATTCGGGAAAACTGCTGAAGTTGGTCTAGTGCGACTTTTGTTTTCGTAGTTCCTTAAAGGGACCTTTGCATTAGTTTTTGGTAAGGGAGTGAAAAGAAAATATTTCTTGAAAAACAAGCCGTGTTATTAAGGTATTGATAATTTAGCAAGCAAGTTTTATTATGTAATACTTCATACGAAATCATCATTTTCCATGTTCCCAGCAATTACTGTTATAATTGAAAGTTTCCATAAACAAATTGTTAAGAAAGTTATCAACTCATAACTGTTAGAACGTGTCATAATCGA